TGACAAAATAGGAAAGGTCCAAGCTTTAGGAAAGAAACTTTAGGAGGCAACACTGAAGGTAACATGAAAATATTCCTTCAGAAATGCCTGCAATGCAAGAAAGCGCAGTTGAAGCAGGAGCGCATTAACCCACTATTCAATGAGAGGGAAAATCTCTAACAGATGATGCCAAAGCACTTGGGGCATTTTCTGCATCAATCTCCACTCASTAAGATGGATTAGCTGGCTAATGTAACTCATAGCACAGCAGAAGGAGCAGGAGCCCAAGCTAGAACTGGGAAACGCATTACAGCGACTGCTCCAAACCTCCCGAGCCAGCAAAGCCACGGCTCTGAATTTTCCATGCAGATTTATCGGCACACTTCAAACGAAAAGCACGATAAAGGCAATGTGCTTCTGCAGACAGCTTAATGAGCTTCCATAAACCGATGGACGTGTAGTCCATAAACCTGTGGACTATATCCAGCACTAGGAGTACTTCAAGGTTTTCAAACGTGGTAGATGTAATATTTACCCTTTGGAAACTGACAAAAGCAGTTTTATCAAGGATCATCTCTGCTCTCTGCGTTAAGTTCCAACAACCTAAAGAAGGATTAAAGCACCTGCCTTTAAGGAGCAGGAAACAAATACACAGGGAAAGACAGACCAGAGTCAGGATTAGCATCAGATCCTGGGAAGATGCCAAAATAATCTAAGAAATTACCTATCTCCTGCATACTTCAGATAACAGAACAGATGAGATCCAACACACAATTTCCTGGAACAAATCATATCTGAGGAATATAATTCCCTCCAATGACACAGTAACAATGTAGGTAGTGAAACAGCAATATAGTTTTGGTTTAACTGGACTTTTGACACTCAAAYTGACAGTCATATAATCTAAACAAAAGCGGAACTTACTGAAGTAGTCAGAGATAAGCTATCGTTATTTCAGTCAGAGAGAAAATTGGTCAGAAGCCCATTCACATGGTTCTAATCTTCTTGCATTCTCCACTGTTACACAAAGTAACCAGGGAAAGAGGGTTATTTAGCAATGAACTCACTGCAGGCAACACCATATTCTGCTGTGACTCCGTTTGATTTCTTATGGTCACAAGCAACAACTTCCAGCATCTCCCAGACAATATCTTGTCCACAAACTACACATTAGAAAATACYGGGATGTTAACAGAGAATAATCTGGGGCAGTTTCAAAAACTTGGATGGAGAGACTCAGAATCCAAAGTCAGTGCAAAAGTTACCTGAAGTAAAATGCTGTTTAACAGAGCAAAAAGGTAACACAACATGGAAGGAAAGGTTAAATTCTGTTCTGCCCACAGATATGCTGAATGGTAAAGTGCTAAAGAATCTGGGGCTTATGCTCAACATAAATCGAAGGTATCACTGCAAAAAAAAGAAAAAAAAAATACACAAAGACTCATCATTCTGACTGTATGAAATGCAGGTATGAAAAGAACATTAAAGAATTTTGACTCTGGATGTTGTACTAAGGACTCAGACGGAACATCACATCCAGCTCCAATAAAATGCAAACCAAGTGAAAAAAGCCCAAAGAAAAACAGTGAGAACAACCCCCAAATGTAATTACAAATAAATAATCACTGATGAGAGGAGACTGAAGCAATGGAACTTCTTCAGAGTGAAAAACACTGAAAAAAATGTCCTCAAAACATTAGACACATTCCTACATAAGAGAATAAAGAACTCACAAGTGTATAAAATTCATTATAGAGTTCTTAAATGCTTCAATTATAGCAAATAAATTTAGATTAGAGATCAGGAGTCATATTTTCAATGGTAAGAACTACAAAATATCAGAATAGATTGCCTAAGGATAAATCTCCACCAGAAACTTATGCTAGCTCATTTGCTTTGGGAGGTCATAAACATTCCTTCCTTGTGACTGAAACATGGTGAATTTATGAGAGAACAAGAGTCAGTTACCTCCCTTTATTCACAGGTGGGTCACGTGAGCTTCCGGTTCCTAGATGAGTTATTATGAAAATTTATTAACCATTACTAAGAAAYAACTTCTGCATGAAGGCTTTGTAACACTGTACAGAAACAATAATAAATACATAACCCTAAAAGAGCTCTTGGAAGGAAAATACAGAGGAAAAGTGACATACGTGAACCACATCGAGATGAAGAGTCCTTAATTACAACAAAAATGAGGAAACCCAGAGATTCTACTCTGCAACAGAGATGCAAACAACAAGAAGTGGAGGAAGCAGAGGCAGTCCTCGTGCAGGTATRAGAAGCAAGACAAGAACATCAACCCCAAACACGGTGTCAGCAACCGCACCCAGTAAAGCAGAAAACACTGTTAATTTTCTSAAGTGAAGCTCAACTACAAAAAAAGTCCCAAAACAACTGAGAACCAAAGCAGGAGAGCAAACTGAGACATGCTGTCCTCTGCTGGAAGTGGGTCTGGAGGAGCCTGAAAGCACATGAGGACYACTTTGATCAAGTCCTTTGATCTTCACCAAATACAAGATCGAGGCATCAGTTCAAACCCGGACAGCTTTGCCCAAACGCTGCTGTTGCCTTTTGAACTGAAGCTAACGCTGCACTTGTACAGACACCACTTTTGTCATCAAAGGGACACTCCTGAGACCACCTCTACTACACCACCACACCTTCATGGAAACAGAAGTGCTTRCATGACCACAAAGAACAGGAGCAGRGAGCAGAATGAAAAGTAACACWTTTTTCCTAAGACAGTAAGATAAATCCTATCTTGTAATTCACTTCCTTCATCCTGTTCACTTACAACACTGCAACAAGGCAAGCAAAAGCTCTTAGGCTACATCTTYTGAATGTAATTCATATATAATTTAAAATACACACATTAGAGGAAAGATAAAAAGACAAAAAACCTCAAACAAACAAAAATTTAAAAAGACACAGGAAGGACTGCTATTGCATACGGGGCTTCTATGGTGCACATCCAGAAACAATTTACAGTACAGCCTTTTAAACTTCCACACTAACCAAGGATGATCTCCAAGTCTGAAAATGAATGAGTTCAAACTGTTTATGACTTAAATCAGCAAGAGCCAGTGCTAGGAACGATCTAAGGGTTGAGTTTTGAGGGGAAAAAAAAACAAAAAAAAAACAAACAACAACAAATGAATGAGTTAAAGACTACCATCAGCAAACCTTCAGCAAAGCATTCTACATTTTGGAGAACTAATACATTAAAAGAATACAACAAAACACTTTACTACTCGAGCATAGTTTTAAATACAATTAAGAAATATTCAACTCCATGGGAAATGTATTTTTTCCCTGCATTCCTCGCTTCGCACCCCGAAGCCTCGCAGCCCTGCAGGACAGGAGCCTGTCCCGAACAAACGCCGTGTCCCGTGGATTCCTCCCCGCTTCCCCACGGGGATTTCATTGCAGAGAAGCCACCAAGGGCAGCGCGTCAAACCCACACAGAACCCAGCCCGGGCTGACACGGACCCTCCGGGGCAGGGAACGGCGGCATGAGCGGCCCGGAGCCGCCTCGCAAACGCCGCTCGGGGCTGGCGCAGCCGGGATCGCCCCCACCCCCGGACCGGCCCGGGGAGCGACCCCATCCCCCAGGCCCCACMGCCCGGTGCCCCGCAGAGCAGCGGGGACTCCGCACCGCGCCCTCTCCCCCTGCAGCCCGGCGCCACTCACAGCGTGTGCCCGCAGACGTTCACCATCAGCTTCAGGGACGGGTTGCGGTACTTGGTGGTCTTGCACCGCGGGCAGMCCAGGTCGTCCATGGCCGCCTCCCGCTCCCCTCCCTCTCCCGCCGCGCCTTCCGCCTTCCGGTGCCGCCGCCAAACGGCCCCGCCGCCGCCCAGCGCCGCCCCGCGCGTTCCGCGCCCGTTCCCGGCCCCGACACCGCCCGGCACCGCCGGCCCGAGCGGGAGCGAKCCTGCCCCGCGGTGAGGCTGGGGGGCTGTCCGGCCCCAGAGCTCCGGGGGTTATACGGGGAGAGAGGGGACATTTGCCCAGGCTAAACAACAGGAATCGCAGAATTAATTACTTTGGAAAAGACCACCTTGTCAACCAGACCATGGCACTGAGTGCCACGTCCAGTCTTTGCTTAAACACCTCCAGGGATGGTAGCTCCACCGCGTCCCTGGACAACCCATTCCAACGTTTAATCGCCCCTTCTGTGAAGAAATTCCTGCTGATGTCCAACCTAAACCTTAACTGGTGCAGCTTTGGACCGTGATATCTCATCCTGTCGCTGGCAGCCTGGGAGCGGAGCCCGACCCCCACCTGGCTCTTTTCAGAAAGTTGCAGAGAGTGATAAAAGTTACCCCGAGTCTCTTTTTCTCCAGGCGAAACACCCCGAGCTCCCTGAGCCCCTCCACACAGATCTTGTGCTCCAGACCCCTCCCCAGCTCCGCTATCCTTATCTGGACTCGCTCCAGCACTTCAATGACTTTCTTAAAGCGAGGGGCCCAGAAGCGGACACAACGGAACTCCCACAACCATCCCGACCAAARTGCCTCACCCCCGCGGTACAACAGCACCGGGAGCGTTTTAACCCTTCCCCTTTCCMGGGAAAGCCGCAGGTGACGGGAGCCGCCGCTTCCCGGGGGCTCCAGGTGGAGATGTGRGGGGGGGGAACGGAGAGAGCAGCGCGGCCGCTTGATTGACGGTTGCCATGGAGACGGTGTAGCCCCGCCCCTCCCGGCGCCGCGCAGCCAATGGGAGCACGCGGCCGGGGCAGCGGTGGGCGGGGCCACATAGTCTTGCGGCGGGTGCGGGAGTCGCGGCGGGGGGAGCGGCGGAGCGCGGCCGGGATACAGCAGCGATCCCGGATGGTCACCGCGGGGCCGGGGGAAACCTGATCGGCTAGAGCAGGAGGAGGAGAGAGATAGGAAGGGGGGAGAGGAGGAGAAGTGAA